GAAAAAGAGACAGCTCCCAAGGCTCCAAGGGCAAGAAAATCAGCTCTGACATGTGGTTGAAGAGAAGTGGCACCTGCAGGCTCTGTGCCTGGCTCCTGGCAGGCCAGCGGGTGAGGGCCACGCACCTGCGGGCTTTGCTCACTTCCCTTCTGCGCAGCCTGGCGATTGCCTCTGACAGGTCTCAGGGAGGCATCCCTCATAAAAATGAGTGTAAAGCCTTGTGCTAATACGAAGCCTCCCATAAATGTCAGGGGATGAGAATTACAGCCCCGCAGGCTCATAAAAGAGAGAGCGTGTCATGGCTTGAGGAAGCCACAGCGACTGTGAGGGCACCGAACTGTCTTTCCAGGCTGTATTTTAGTTCCAGGGAAGACATGACCAGAGGAAGTGGAGTGCTAGCTGAGGCCAGAGTGGCTCAGAGCCTGTCTCGAAAGGCTCAGTTATCAAACGTGTCAGCACAGCTTCCCTTGACCTGGCCCAGGGCTCCTTCAAGGTGAAGGGAGACATAGTCTGAGGGTACCTGGCCTCAGGCAGCCCTGGGTTTAGGGAATAAACAACATACTGTTCGCCACCTTTTGCAAGCCTTGACCCCACCTGTCAGCTAATTAGCACGTAGCACCCAGGTGTGCTCCCCTGCTCACCATCTGTCTGGCAATCCTTTGATGCACCCCATATGTCTACCAGCCTTGACCCCAACTACCCTTTCTTTATCCCCTTTTATTTCTCTCTCTGTTTAATACACATTCGACATACAGCTAAAATTCCCCGGGATCCTATGATACGCATGGCATTGTGCTGGGGTCCTGGAAACTGGGCTGGGGACAGAGAAGTGGGATATGAAGACCCTACTCAGAAAAAGGGACTCCTCCAGCTGACGTCACTAAGTGAGTGGAATGAGTCACTTCTGGGAGCACGTGTTAAATGGCATTTAAATATATAAAATAAATATCAAAAATGTAAGTCTTTGTTTTACTATGGTTGCAAAGATCAAAACATTTCTATATGTGACACAGCACCAGAGTTAAGTTAGGGTTTTTCAAAATGCTGACACGCCGTGCTCAAAAGGTTCGCCATCATGGCCCTACTCAGAAAAAGGTACTCCTCTAGCTGATGTCAGCAGAATGAGTCACTTCTGGGAGCACATACACACTAGAAAAGCAGGACAATGACAGGGAATGGTGGCTTCATGCCGGGCACTGGCCGAGACCATGGTCTCAGGTGGCCTCATGATAGCCTCCAGAGGTGAGTACTATTGCCATTCTCATTTTCAGATGAGGAAACTGAAGCCCAAGGAGGTGGTGACTTTTGGAGGGTGACACAGCTTTCAAAGCAAGGCGGCCTGATCTGGATGCTGTCTGCGTGTGTCTCTCTCTGGCCTCAGTTAAGATAACATGAGACTCCTAATAGCAGGGGGGATATTCTGCATGCTGCTCCCCCTTTCTGAGGCCATGCTGCCTTTTGTTTTTCTAAGTTCTCTCTCTCTCTTGCTCTCTCTCTCTCTCTCTCTCTCTCTCACACACACACACACACACACACACTCACCCCTTGATCCATGACCCCCATCCTGACCCTGATCCTCTGGACCTTAATGGCACTTTGACATTGAAACAAAACGATACCAACATTGTTACATGTTCATTGAGAAAGCATTTTCAGGGGCAAATGCCAATAACCCCAACAACTTCCAAGAAACTCCCATACATTTCTGGGTCAATTTTATTGTTTATTATTTATTTTATTGAATTTATTGGGATGACATTGGTTAATAACATTCTATAGGTTTCAAGTGTCAGTTTTCTATATTATAATCTTTTAAAATGTTTGCTTTTACTTTTTTATTTACTAAAATTATTTCTGACAGAATTCATTCTTCACTTAAATTTCAGGGTGGAAAAAAAAAAGGAAAAATTAATGGTACTTCGACATTGAAACAAAACGATACCAACATTGTTACATGTTCATTGAGAAAGCATTTTCAGGGGCAAATGCCAATAACCCCAACAACTTCCAAGAAACTCCCATACATTTCTGGGTCAATTTTATTGTTTATTATTTATTTTATTGAATTTATTGGGATGACATTGGTTAATAACATTCTATAGGTTTCAAGTGTCAATTTTCTATATTATAATCTTTTTAAATGTTTGCTTTTAATTTTTTTATTTACTAAAATTATTTCTGACAGAATTTATTCTTCACTTCTCCTGACATGTCAGATTAACCTGAAAGGAAGGTGGGGCAAGGGAAAGGGGGGTGTTTTTTTTTTTTTTTTTAACATCTGAAATTCTTTTTTTTTTTTTTTTTTTTTTTAAATCTTTATTGTTAAAAGTATTACATATGTTCCCATTTTTTCCCCACTGACCCCTTCTAGCTTGCCCCTGCCCCTGCCCCTCCCTCAGGCTTCACCACACTATCATCTGTGTCCATGGATCATGCATACATGCATACAAGTTCTTTGGTTGATCTCTTCCTACCCACCCTCCTTCCCTCTGAGATTTGCCATGTCTCTGGCCTCAGTTAAGATAACATGAGACTCCTAATAGCAGGGGGGATATTCTGCATGCTGATCCCCCTTTCTGAGGCCATACTGCCTTTTGTTTTTCTAAGGGATCTATTTTGTTCTTCAGTTTATTTTGTTCATTAGACTGTGTGACGTTTCCTTAATGACTGTTATTTCAACCACATCTAACTTTCTTGGGTCAAATTTTGCAGATCTGCATTTGAAAAGTTGATCTTCAGTCCATTTTTAGTCAATATCACATTTTACCACATGCAATCATAGCCATTTTCAGTTTTAATCTGTGATGATTTCCCCCCCAAAAAATCCATTGTGAGTTGGACAGCAGACTAATAGTTTGTGTTTATTTCTCAGCTAACCAATGAGAAACTGGAGAGCATTTTATGCAAAAGAGAGGGCTATGTAAAGCACAAAGATTCGTATGTGGAGAGATGAAGACAGCAAAAGGAGATCAAAAAATAATAAGAAATTTCTATTTATCGTAATGGTAACAACTAATGTTTCTTGAGCACTTACTTTGAGTCCTGTTCTAAACACTTTATTTTTTAAAAATATATTCTTATTGACTTCAGAAAGGAAGGGAGAGGGAGATAGAAACATCAATGATGAGAGAGAATCCTTGATTGGCTGCTTCCTGCAGACCCCCTACTGGGGATCGAGCCTGCAGGCATGTGCCCTTGACTGGAATCGAACCCCAGACCCTTCAGTCTGCAGGCTGATGCTCTATCCACTGAGCCAAACCGGCTAGGGCCTGTTCTAAACACTTTAAATGGGCTTATATTAATTGAACCCTCATAACAATTCTTTGCAGAGATATGATTATTATTTTCATTTCAAGATGGAGCAAGTGTGGCACAAAGACTGGAAAGAAATTGTCTCAAATCACATAGCTGATAAGAGGCAGATCCGGGATTCAAACCCAGGCAGTCGTGACGGAGAAGCTGCGGCTGTCTGTGTATATTGACTGCTCAGTTCTGGACATTGCAGTGCCGGAACATCCTCTGGAACACAGTAATGAGGTGAGTCAAATGTCCTTCCACCCCATGATTTTCTGCCACCCAAAGTGCCCGGCCACCTCCACTGTGCCTGACACATCATGCGCTTCCTCTAGGGAGCCAGTCCCCAATGCTGGGTCTCCTGACCCTCTGCTGGGCTTCCAAGCATCTGAGATAATGCCTGCTTGAATCTTACCACTTGTGCTTCCATTTTTGCTTCTTAGTCTTCCTCATTAGACCTTCTGCCTTCCTACAGGGCAGAAGTTGGGTGATATTATATTGTTTCCGTTTCTTAGTATAGGACCAATACAAATTAGAAAGGGCTATGAAAATTCTTGAGTTAATGTCTGTGTCATTTCACTAATAATGAATTCTATTAGTAGTGATTTGCTTTATTATTTGCTTTGGCCTAACAAGTTCTTCTGCATAAAGGGACTTACGACCTTTCCTGGCAGTTCTCGAGACTTCCTAATTAAAAGCTCATGAGGTGTTGATGTTCTAATGCAAGTGACTGGGATGTGGGTAAATCACTCAGTTTCCACATTCCTCCATTTCTATTTTGTTCTAAAAATCTTATAGTATCTGGTGATACAGAGCTTATTAACAAGGGAGTTTGTATATGATACGGGTTAAACTAAAGCCCAAAAGCAGAACAAGTCTCTCTAGAATATATGTCTGTGGTTGTAACTATAAACTTGTTCTATAATGTTAATAAGGAATCCCTATGTAATAACTCAAGCTGCCTAAGTTAAATTTTAATGTTGCCTAAATCTCCCCACCCACTCCACACTCAATCCAATCAGTCACCTAGTTTTGAGATTCTACCTTTTAGCTCCTGAACTGTCCCCTCTACTCCAGTCTCACTGTTGTTGTCTTAGTTCAAGGTCTCATCATGGTCAATCTCAATAGCTTTCTACTATCTCCCTAATTGAAAGCATCATTCTTACCACAGTCAGAGAGATCATTTTAAAAAGCAAAGCTGATCCTGTCACTCCCCCACTTGAAATCCTTAAATAACTTCTTATCATTTGCTTCCTTGGTTTCTACCTCCAAAATGGATCTCTTTCCAAACACAATCACTCCTGTGTTTCTGCTTGACTTTCAAGCAGTATGGCATAAAGATTCAGAGTAAATGCAGTAGTGTGGACTTGCCTGACGACCATTTAGGTGGTATGAGTTTCGGCAACTTGCTTACACTTTCTAATTCCCAGTTACTGCATCTGTAAAGTGGGGATAATTAGTAGCTCCATATATAATTGTCATGAGGAATTAAATGAGAAGTTCCATGCAAAATGTTTATATATGCTAATTACCTAATAAATACTAGTCCTTGGTCTTGGCTAAGATCTGGTTTATCTTCTAGACTGTGTACTCCATAACAGTGACTTTTGTGTCTGCAGCAACTATGGCAGTTCCTGGTACAAAACTGGTGTGCATTAAGTGTTTGCCAGATGGACAAGTCAATGGATTTGCCAAATAGACAACTGAATGATCTCTGAACTCAAAATCAGAACACTTGGTCTGATATGTTTGTATAATGGAGCAGAGTTCAAGTAACTTCTAAAATGGTGAGTTATTGCTATAGCAATACAACATTTTTATCTCACCCCACGTCCTGAGACTGGTGTGGTGCTTAATGACATACTGCAGGTGTGGAGTTTTGTAAATTTTAAGAGACAGAGCTTTCAGACAAATTTAACTGAGGTTCCAGTCCTGACTGTGCCACTAACTAGATAATGTGACTGCGAGAAAGTTAATAATCACATTCTCAGTGTTTCTATTTCCTCATCTGTGGACAAAGAATGTTGGACCAGATGATCTTGAAGGTTCCTTTCAGCTCTGCAATCGATTTCTTCTGTAACTTCTAAAAGTGGTAATTTGGGGAGATTGTGTATGAAAGATAGTATAAGAAACAATTGCATTATAATTAAATACTAAATATTACCTTTACACAAGGGTCCCTGAGATATTGTTGTTTTAAATTTGAGAAACAGAAAAAATTTAATAGTATAATTTTAGATCTGGAATCCTATATAATAAAATCCTAATATGCTAAGTGTCCAACCAGTCACTATGATGCACACTGACCACCAGGGGGCAGATGCTCCAATTGGTAGGTTAGCTTGCTGCTGGGGTCTGGCTAATTGGGGCTGGGCGAGACAGGCCAGACACACCCTGGAGCCCTCCCACAGTCCCTCCCCGGCCCCAATTGTGCACCAGTGGGGTCCCTCGGCCTGGCCTGTGCCCTCTTGCAATCTGGGACCCCTCGGGAGATGTCAGAGAGCTGATTTCAGCCCGAACCCTGCAGGCCAGGCCAAGGGATCCCGTCAGTGCACGAATCTGTGCACTGGGCCTTTAGTGAATTATAAGAGACATACTTGTTGATAAAATAAGAAAAGAGAGAGAGCCCCACCCCCATTCAGTAAAAGAATAGTGTTGACTTTACACAATGGATTTGGTTAACTGTTTATGTTAATAAACCAAGAGATTGTAAGTGTCTTATTAGATATTTTGGGACAAATCCAAAGTTTCTTACAGTTAAACTAGTAAAATGTACACACAATGAATATAGATACAGTCATCTATGTTAATAAACTAAGAGATTGCAAATGTGTGATTGATTGTTCCAGAGCAGGACAAATCAAAATTGGGGTAATCTTAGGGAATAAAATATCCTATTAGATATAATCATATGGTATCCTATTAGGATAAAATTGTGGAAACAAAACATAGAAGGTCATCCTAGAGCAGTGTACTTTACTTTCTGGCTCACAGATTCAAGGTGGCCCATGGAATTATCTTAAGGATCTTCAAATTCATGAGCTCATTAACTATTCATTGTTGACTGAATCGGCCAATGGTATCAATAATAAAAATTACTTCCTTCCTGTTTGTTTCCTATGGAGCAGAATAGAAAAGAACATACTTCTTTATTTCCTTCTGACTAGAGGAGTAAGCTTAGCTGTGTATGCAAGGGAGAGGTTCTTGGGTAAAGCAGAGAGTTCCCAATGCAAGGAAGGGTAGGCACAGATGGTCTAAGTGGAAGGCATTTCTCTATTTGCAATAGTAAATTATCAGGCTCGCATGACCCAATGCCATTAAAAATTTAAATAAAAGAACTTACTGCCTTGTTCTGCTTTCAATCACATTGAGCTGCTTTCTCATGATTCTGTTTGCTTTGCACGTTTGCCTACAGAGAGGAAAGGAAGGAATATATGGTCCACCTGACAGATGGAAATTTTTTTTGTAAATTAATAAACTAGCATTCTGGTTTATAGAGCTGAGTCTTTAGGCGCTCAGTTTAAAGTGAGTGTCCTTGAATTTGGGTCCAGTCTTATTTATTAACAAAATATATTTAGGGGACTGTAGAGCTTGGAGTGCAATTCTTAACCCCATTATTTCCCAAGGTTGAGGGTTTCCCTTGAGAGTTCTCTAGGTGCTCATATAGCTGAGCCTCTTCTAAGGACACCCCTGTGCACTGTTTGTCCTTATCAATGGATGAGTATCTTGTCCAATCCTCTCATTTTGTAGATGGACAATAAAGCATACATCACAATATGGCAGTGGTTTCCACCCTTGCACTTAGCATCATTGAGAACTAGCTATCTGGGAACTTAAAACATATTTAAAATCCCTTTACCTTTAAACAATTTTGGCTTTACTAAAGAATTGCAAAGTTAGTACAGAGATGCTCTGCATCCAGCTTCTCTTAACGTGAATATAATTACACAACCATGATACATTCATCAAAACTAAGAGGCAATTTATTCACATTTTCTCAGGTTTTTTCCACTAGTGTCTTTTTTCTGTTCCAGAATACAATCCACAATACTACATTGCATTATGCTGGCATATTTTGTTGGTTGCCTTAAACCTGTGACAGTTCAGCTGTCTTTACCTGTCTTTCATGACTCAGATGCTGAAGAATATGGATCAGGAATGTTGTAAAATGTCCCTCAATTTGTGTTTGTTTACTGTTTCCTCAGGTTTAGACGGAGGTTATGGGTTTTTGGAGAGAATGCCACAGAGGTGAAGAGCCCTTCTCATCACATCCTATCAGGGGTTCATGTCATCGCTGAAGATGTCAACCCCAATCACTCGGTTAAGAAGGTGTCCCCCAGGTTTCTCCACTGTACGTGTAAACTCTGCTAGGTAGGGTCACTAAGTTCAACCTGTGATATTGTGATTTATAGAAATATATACTTGGTCATTCAGATTGAGGAAAGAGTAAGTATAGGGAATATATAAAATGGAGTCATTTTAACCAAGCTACTAAAATTATGAACATTATAAAGGTTGAGCCCTGAAGAAAGACTCCATTCTTATTCTACCTAGCCTGGGAACTAAAATTTTTGAACTTTCCAGTCCTGTGTCAATGCCTGAATTGGCAGCAAGAATGGCACCAAGTATTAGACCAGTGGGGTCAGGCTTGACCTTGGTTCAGCAACCTCAGTACTTGAGTTCTGGCTAGGAAAGAATTCAGAGCCAAGACTCAAACCATAAGGGAAAGTTTATTTAGAAAGCCACAAAGGTGGAATAAGTGAGCTGAGAGGTAGAAGAAATGGGCCCAGGTAACAAGTTAGAGTGTTGGGGCCAACCCCAGCAGGTCCAGGGGTCCCCAAAGGTGTGGATGGAGTCGGCGAAGAAGGAATGACACGGAGACAGTGTTCAGTTGATCAGCAGCCTAGCCAGGATCTCCAGCCAAGTTCTGTCTTTTATTGTCTTGTTACATCTATATTTATACCAGTTGATTTTAATCCTGTCAATTTCTATTCCAAAGGTTAGGGCATTTCTTATCTCCATTCCAGGGAGTAAAGATTATGTAGCTTAAGGGTGATTGTTCGTAGTTAAAGTGATTAACTACCCGACTGACTTTTAGTTAAGGGATTTTATTTCCTCCCTAACTTCAGGGAAAAATCCCTACCTGGGGAAACAACCTTTCTCGGAGAGGTGACCTTGGTTAAAACACATAGCTCCAAGAAAGGGAGCAAACATATTAAGAACCGTATGCCATATACACCAGGTCCCTTGAAACATATGCTGTGCAGATGTTTCTTCCCTGCAGCGACTGTGTCAAGCAGCAAGGATGGACCGGCTTCTGGCATTAGAGAGGCAAAAGAAGGGCCCTTGGCGTTTAGGAGAGACAAAGGTAAAGGTAACACCCTAGCAGTGGTTCTCAACCTTCTGGCCCTTTAAATACAGTTCCTCATGTTGTGACCCAACCATAAAATTATTTTCGTTGCTACTTCATAACTGTAATGTTGCTACTGTTATGAATTGTAATGTAAATATATGATATGCAGGATGGTCTTAGGCGACCCCTGTGAAAGGGTCGTTCGACCGCCAAAGGGGTCTCGACCCACAGGTTGAGAACCACTGCTAGAGGAAAGAAGTGGGGAGGGACAAGGCATAGGTGTGCTCCTGGGAGGGAGAGTTAGCTGGGTCCTCTTGTAGGGCTTTTAAGGGGAGCCCCAGGAGAGAATTGCAATCAAATATTCATCAGCTTTTTAGGTGGGTCCTTTCAGGGTTGTGGTCTACACTGATGTCAGTCATGGCATCCCTTGTTAGGTTTTGCAGCTTTTCTGGGCCTGGAGTTGAAATACAACTAGGCCTATGTGTATTCGATGCAGGTTGCAACCTCATTGTCCTGGGGGCGTTAATGCTTAAGGGCTATCCACTGACCTCCTTGGGTTGTCCCCCCTCTAAAGGGGGTCGAATTTGCATGACTAGCAACATGCCAGAGGAGGAAAGGTAGGGGGAGAGGGGAGGTCTGAATTGTGCGACCAGTGATATGCTAGGGGAGGAAAAGTTACCCTGGGGGTGAGGTCCTTGTTTTCCCAGCTTTCTGCCCTGGTGACCTTTGCTTATGTCTGTCTAACTGCCTACACAACTGGATGTACATCTGGACATATGTGAGTCCTTCAGAGGCTCCCTGAACCTCGCATATACATCCACCTGACATTCATCGCCCAGACCTCCAGGACATTTTCTGGACCACCTGGCAGCCATCCGATTGATAACTGTCCTGGACCAATTTTACAGCTAAGAATCAGGACGTATTTTTTACTATAAGTAAATTCTCAAAAACGTATTTTTTACTACAAGAATTTTTAATCTTACTTTCTTCTTTGGAGCACTTCTGGGTTTTTGCCCAGCTGTGTTCCTAGTCTGCAAACTCCAAGACCCTTGAACAAATCTCTATTAATTTTTTTTTTTTTTTAGCAAAGCCTCTAGATCAGTGGTTCTCAACCTTCCTAATGCCGCGACCCTTTAATACAGTTCCTCATGTTGTGGTGACCCCCAACCATAAAATTATTTTCATTGCTACTTCATAACTGTAATTTTGCTACTGTTATGAATCGTAATGTAAATATCCGATATGCAGGATGTATTTTCATTGTTACAAATTGAACATAATTAAAGCATAGTGATTAATCACAAAAACAACATGTAATTATATGTGTGTTTTCTGATGGTCTTAGGCGACCCCTGTGAAAGGG